CAGTTCCTGTCTGCAAATGCAACTGCAACTGGAGACCGAGGCTGAAGTCTGACCTTTGCGGGTGACTCTCTCTCTGCCATGAATGAAAACATTTGCTGTTGTCGCTGTTGTTGTTGCTGTTGCTGTTGTTGTTGCTGTTGGTGTTGCAGCGCAGCCAGAGCCCTGGGGCCGGAGCAGGTGGAAAGATCATCGGCCACGTTGCAATTGTTGGCGTTAATAGTTTTGTTGCTGCATATTTTCCATGCTGATGATTAAATTGCGATAAATTTTGGGCAAATTGCAATTCGTGTACAACAAATTGCCAAGGCGTTTGGATCTGGCCAGAGATATCTACGTCTGCATAGATGGCCAGATCGCGTGGGCGTTGCATAGACTGGGTGAAAGCTCTTCCTCCTTTCCGTGTCCAAAACAAATTGGGCCTTATCAACGATAAATCAACTATTTGTGTTTGCCGCTGGCCAAGACAACAATTGACACATGAGACGGGGAGTATATGAAGTGGAATTGAGGGGGGGGGGGGGGGGGTTGCAGCAAAAGGGGCAGCAAATTGCATGCGATTGAAATTGAAATTGAATGGTTTAAATGGTCATTTCAATGGCTGCAATTTAACAAGCCATAATTAGTTTATTGTTGTATTTACGAAATAAACAAGCAGCAACAACAACAACAACAACAACAATAACAAACGACAAGTTTGTTATAAACGCCAACTGACAATTGACATTTGCATAGGCCGCGCTGTCGGCGTCGCGACGTCGGTTAAATTGAAAGGACTCGCTGCCTGTTAATACATAAATAAACAGGCGTTACAAACTGCTCACAAACACTAGCGCACACACACACACACATAGACTCACGTACGCGTAGCCATCACACACATGTCCATGTCACATGAAATCGGATGGGCTCTGCCTTTGCGCTGCTGCTGCGCTGCTGCTGCGGCGATTTGGCTTGTCGGCCATATTGTGTCTGCCTCTCTTCGCTCTCTCTCTCTCTCGCTCGCTGCTCACAAAAGCTCAACTGCAGCAGGCACCGTTACTGTTGTTGCTGCTGCTTCTGCTGCTGTTCCGTGCTATTTATTAACCTTTTATTTAATGCTATTTGCTTAGAGGTTTTACTCGCACGGAGCCCCAACAAGCTGGCAGCAACAAAGGCAACTGATGACAGGCCATCGCCTTGCAATTACCCTTACCAGAGCTTGAGCGAACCGGGTTGGGCCGGGTCTGGGCCAAGTTGGACGCTCTTCTATGTAATTAGGTGATTGTCTGTCCGGTTCAAATGTCGCGTTTGTTTGTTTGCCTTTCGCGTGTACACTACGCTCCTATACAAATGCAAGTGTGTGCGTGTGTGTGTGTGTGTGTGTGTGTGTGTGTGTGTGTGTGTGTGTGTGTGTCTTCTAGGAGCTGGCAAATGGGAATGGAACGGCAGGCTGATCGTTAAGGCGGAGCGCCAACTTGCAACTAATGACAGATGATTGCGGCTGTTGATTGAATGGAAACTGAATAGCTGTATGATTGAATGAATGAATGAATGTATTCACTCACTTGTGTGCGTGTTAAGTTCGAATCATTTTGCGGCTTGCGAAGTTTTGAAGTACTGTAATTTGCATGTTTCATCAAACAGCTTTTCAGATGACGCCGCCAATGCCCCAGAAAAACTATTCAAATAATAAATGAGCCTGTTAATAATTTCAATCCATTAACTTTACTCAACCGAATACTACGAATAAATATAAAAAGTTAAACAATACTCAAAGTACTCATACATACAAAAGAAAGTAGGTTGCAAAATAGCAATTACAATGTATCTAAAACTGTAGCCAGCGCCAATTAGATGTTGTCTAATAAGATTATGTACTATTCCATTAAAATTACATTTAAAATTCTGTTAAAAGAATACTCTAAAATTTAACATTTATCTAATTGAATGTGTGTGCATATGTAAGTGCTTGTTAAACAGTCCAATCAGACAACCAGTTGGAGTCAACTTGTATGGCAAGTGGAAAACCGTTTAGCTGTCAATTAAATACAATTTCCACATGGCTTTTATTGATTTTCTCGCTCAACGTGGCTAAAGCGAGTTGGCTAAGTCGAGGGCAATCAACGGTTTTCATCATGTGTTAATTGCAATTAGAGCGGCTCGCAGCCATATTTGTTACGTGCGTGTGTGCGCGTGTGTGTGTTTGGTATTCAAATATCGATACATGGGCGTATTTTGTTGTTTGCTCGCCAATGGGCAGGGCAAACATAAATTGAGACAAATTCCCCATGTCAAGAAATCAAAGCAAAGCAAAGCAGAGCAAAGCAAAGCAGAGCGAAGCAAATCAAAATGCGAGCCAAATAGGCCGCTTGGGGGCATTGCGCAATGCGCCGACCGACACAAATTATTAATTTGCGCAACAGTTGTAGCCATTTTGTGATCTGACTTATGACACAGTCATGTCCATTGTTTGCTAAACGGCATTAGACAAACAACAGCAAGAGCCACGACAACGACAACGACAACAATCGCGACAATCGCAATAATCAATGCTACGATTCGATTAAAAGATCAGCAGCACAAACGAGAAGACTGCAAAAATGCAATTCCAATAAGATTGACAATGAGCGGCTGCCTAACGAGCCAGACAGCGGGTGCAAGCGAGAGGGCAGGCACTCAAAGTCGGGCTTGCACTCCTCTTGTGTTGCTCGTTTGTAAGCAACATACATTTTTGCGCGTCAGCGACGACAGCACTGAAGGCTCAGCTCTCTCTCCCGCTTTATCTCTCTTTCGCTCGCTCTCTCTCTCCCTTTGCCTCTTTCGCTGTCTGTCTTTGTGGGTCGCAGTCGCAGCCGCAGACTCAGAGTCGGTGACTGCGCTGCGCTTTGTTTAAATAAAAGCCTCTTTAAGTTTATCTATCGGGGCGCATCTAAATTGTGTGGGGAGCCCGTCGCTCTGTGCGATTATGCTATTTGTTGCTGCGACTGCGCAGTCGGCAGCGACTGCGATGCTCGTGTAATGTTTTGCCGGCGCGCTTTTATTTTGCTGTTGCTTTTGCTTTTTGTTCGTATTGCTGTTGTTGTTGTTGCTGTTGCTGTTGTTGTTACTTATTGCTAGCGTTGTACGCTTCATGTTTTGATTGTATTTATTTTAGTTTGAGTAACTTTACTTTTTTGCTGCTGCTGCTGCTGCTGGTGCTGAGCTGCTGCCGCTGCTTGCGTCCATTTCTGATGAAGATTTTCTGCGCGATTAACTGGCGAGATCGCCTTACGCGCGCTCCACGCGGTCTCTTTTATGTGAAAAGCGTTTCGTGCGCAGCTTTAATCATGTCTCTTTTCATGGAACGACGACGCGCTGGAACGGCCACGGCAACGGGTTGGGGTGGATGGGGCACATAATGGGTAACGGTTGGATTTCGCATTGCGCAGACATTTGAGCAATTGCGTTTAATTTTATTCATAATTCGTGTCTAGGGTTTCTCGACTGCTTTTAATCGCTGTATAATTGTTGCCCTCTCGCTCTCTCTCTCTCGTACTGTGTGAGCTGCCAGCTGAAATTAAGCTTGATTAATTTGTTGGTTGCATTATCGACGCGTCGGCATCTGGGCCCAGATCGGACCCGGACCGGGGGCCGCGACCTGCGCTCCAACAAAGTTATTAAACTGGATTGGGTGTGCAATTGGGGCGTGGCAGTGTGCCTGGCCAGATAATAAACCGTGGACAGCTTTCGATGGTCGACGGCAAACAAAAAAAAAAAAAAAAACACACTGGAATTTCTATTTTATGGCCAACGGATGTTGTCTGAAGAGCTAAAAGCAACTTTTTAATGGCCCATTTTGAAAGATGAATGCAGATAAGATAAATTTAGCTTATTAATTAGTTGCCGAGAGACAATTGAGTATGTGTGTGTGTGTGTGTGTACACAATAATCAAAGCAATTCAAAAGGGCTGCCACTTGAAAAACAGTTAATTTCCGAGGCTCAACATAACCTCAACAACGACGACGACACAGTCGTAAGTGTGTATGTGTGTGTGTGTGTGTGTTCTGTAGCCCAATTAGACAAGCTCACTCACACACACACACACACACACATGCATGAATAGTTGTGAGCAACTATCATCAACGGTCGATGTGTGAAGCAAAAAAGGCATCAAAAACAATTATGAAATCACAGCAGATGTTGGAACAAAATTGTGGTGGTGATTTATAAAGCGCAGGCTAAAAACAGCAACAGCAACAGCAACAGCAACAAAAACAAAAACAACAACGGCAGTGACATCAAAAAGCGCAAAATTTTGGTTTTGTGTTTTATGAAAAGAAGAAGAAAAGCGAAAGACACGAATAGAGGCAGCAAACAGGGACCCAAGCATGTGGCATGTGTTACACATACAAAGGCGAACGCACACACGCACACCAATTGGTTGGTGTGTACGCAAAAAGAGTATGGAGGATGCCACTAAAAGGACTGCAGATGCGCAGCCACAAGCCAGAAACTTATGTACGGTGGAGATTTACGACTTAAATGCTGCAGCGCATAATCAAAAAGACAAGCGCAGATGGAGCTGGCATCGAAGCTGTGTGGAGCAGCAGCAGCAGCAGCGATATCCGCAGGAGTAGGAGCAGCCGGCAAAAGCAGCGACGCTGGCAGTGCACTTAATTAACAAATATACAAACACTTAACATAACCTCAACTGACAGGCGGTCGGGCTAGCGGGCAGAGCGCTGGGTGAGCGAGATAACGCTAGTGTACAATTGCCTCATACCCTCGCGCGCACACACACACACACACACACACACATCAATGGAGTGCGAGCGCAGCTCGCTGCTCATTGGATGTTCGAAATGCGAGAGAGCGGCGGAAAAGAGAGCGCACGAACAACGCGTGTGTGTGTGCCTCTACCTGTGTGTGTTTTGTTCTTATTGCCGTTCCGGTTTTGGGCCCTGTGGCTTGACTGGCGACTGCTCGCTCTTGCTCATTTTTGCCGTCTCGTTTAGTTGCAAGTTCGCGGGAGCTTCAGTTGGTTCAGCTAACTGGCAGAGCGCACGTAACGGAAACCGGGCGAGAGTTTTATTGTTTTTCTCTGGACGCTTTATAGTATTATGTTGAATATTGAAAGCCAGACGTGCGTGAGCGCCATCTAGCGGCGAGACGATCACATCCTAACGTATCGAAAGTGCCTCTGCGTGTTTGTGTGTGTGTGTGTGTGTGTGTGTGTGTGTGTGCGCGCGTGAACTAATTGCGAATTGTAAATACCGATACTTAAAAATGCCGACGGCTTTGCAGCCGCTGACACAGGGCTAGCCGAACATCTGCCTCGAGGCAAAAAAACAACAGCAGCAGCAGCATTGTGTCCATTGAAAACTGGCTACACTTATGTCCACGCTGGCCAGCAGTCGCCATCCGACGCTGAATCTGACACTGAAACGCAGCCCCGGCAACCAGCAGCGAGAACAGGAAGAAGGAACGGCGGTTGCAATGCATCCCGATTGCCTGCCACTGCCACTGCCGCTGGGCCCAGCTGGCAGCCATGGGAGCAGCCCGCAGCTGCAGAAGCCCGACGATGGAGAGGAGGACGACGGCTCCAACTGCGACGAGCATATGGTGAACATACTGGACGACCAGGAGCCCAACGAGGAGGAGGACGAAGAGCTCGACGATGCCGCCAGCTGCTGCAGCGAGAACAGCGTGCTTAGCGTAGGCCAGGAGCAGTCCCAGGTAGCTGCCGCCCAGGCCAGGCAGCGTCTGCTCATGAGTCAACTCTACCGCCCGTCGGCATTCAGCAGTGTCTCCAACTCCCACTCTCACGCTGCCGAGGATCCTGGCGGTGGCAGTCCCTTGCCCCACATGCCTGCGCCGGCCAGCTTTCAGGAGGAGTTTCTGCGCAAATCCCAGCTCTATGCGGAGGAGCTGATGAAGCAGCAGATGCAGCTTATGGCCGCCGCCAGGGTCAATGCGCTCACAGCCGCCGTGATGCCGTTGGGCGGCCTGCGCGGCCCCAAGGTGTCACAGCAGCTGCAAATGGCCGCTGCGGCGGCGGCAGCTGCCGCAATGCGACCCAATTCTGGACAGGATGCTCTTGCTCAGCTGACGGCCACAGCGTTGGGCATTGCCCCGGTCGCGCATCCTCACCAGCTGCTCATGCAACAGCAGCTCCAGCAGCAGCAGCAGCAGCACCAGCACCAGCAGCAACAGCAGCAGCAGCAGCCCAATCCCTTCCAGGCACAGCAGAGCAATCACAACTACAACAACAACAATCTCAACGAGAACATGCACGAGCGGGCGCTCAAGTTTAGCATTGACAACATCCTCAAAGCGGACTTTGGATCACGTCTGCAGCAGCGCCTGGCCGCGACCGGGGCAGCTGCTGGAGCAGTTGGCGCAGCGCCGCTCAAGACGCCTCGAAAGGCCGTCAAGCCCCTGAATCTGGTCCAGGCGCAAACGCAGTCGCAGTCACAGCCAGGTCTGCAGCTGCAGACACAGACACAGCCCAGCCTGAGCTTCTCCAGCACGCTGGCCAACATCTGCAGCAATAGCAACGACTCCAACAGCACCGCGACCAGCAGCAGCACCAACAATCCGGCAGCCGTTGACCTGGTCAAGTCGCCGAGCGCCACATCGCCGGCGCCCGCAGCGGCCGGCGGCAAGGCTTCAGAGGATGGAACAGCCGCGACAGCCTCGACATCGACCAGCTCCACGCCCATTGTGTGGCCCGCTTGGGTCTATTGCACGCGCTACAGTGACCGCCCCAGCTCAGGTAAGTGGCATTCAGACTGAGATATGCGTGAATTCAGTTCTCCCCCAAACTTATGGAATATAAGTGGAAGCACCTCTTAGGCACAGTTGCTCCAATTTGTATTCCTGTGTTAGATTTGGTTCAAAGTGAATCACAGATTAATATCTGTAGTGAATGAAAGAATTAAAAGATTTAAGCGATAACTACACTGAGCGAAAAAAGTCGATAATCGTACTTGAATCAAGCACAAACAGTCTTAAAGTGAGTTTATATCGGTCAAAATTTACTAAAATATGAAATTCTTTCTTCAAATAAGACTCTTCAAGTTTCCATGAAATCTAAAGTCTGTAATTATCAGACTACTTAATATCGAGGTGTTAAATATGCGGGTAGAAAGTTATGTATCCATATTTTTTTAAAATCGAATCAATTATTATTTATTTAAGAAATATGAAGGAAGTTATCTTAAGAGTCTAGATTAGCTATATAATATCTCTGACAGAAAAAGTCACAGATATATCAAACCAATCTGATCAAGAATCCATAAAGATTATTGTATACCAGGTATACAATCTCTTATTAAAACAATATATCAACAATTATGGATTTAGAATAATTTCTTCAAATTTTAATAATTGATTATGTAGCTAGATACTGTAGCTAATCTCCAGACAGGAAGAGTGCAGCCACTTTCACTTAGCTTACTTTCGCAGGGTGTACAGGGCAGAGAGGGTGTTGAGTGGGGAGTGTTGAGTGGTTGAGTGGCTCGTAAACAGTTAAGCAAATAAACTGGCAACCACAGAGAAGTTCACACCACACCACATCGCATCGTTCAGGCAACGGCGTCAATCTGCAGCTCATTAGTTTGCAACCACCAAAAAAAGGGGCAACAGCCGTGACACGCTCAGACCACACCATGCCACAGCACTGTGAAAGGCACCCTCACCCAAGTCCAAGTCCACATCCACATCCACATCCACATCCACATCCACTTTCACATCCGCAGTCGCATCCACTTCCACTCATGAAGTGTTTGCTCGAGTGGTTTTTATGTCCTTATGGCTTATGTAACATAACTTAAGCTCATTATGCGTGTGCCTGTATGTGCGTGTGTGTGTGTGTGTGTGTGTGCGTGTGTAGCACCCATCTGCCACCCCCTTTCCAACACTGCCCAACAATCATGGCACTCATGAATTTAGTTTATGCCGCCGCAGAGAATTTGGTAATCGTTTGCCTAATAATTTGATGTGGCCAACTACAAGTCCCTGTGCTCCTTCCTCCAGGGTTAGGCATGCGAAGGGTTGTTCTATTGGCTGGTACACCCATTGCCGTTTCATGTTTAACTTGTCATTTTGTTTGCCTTTTCGTATTATCCAATATTCTCAAGTGGGCGTCATCATATAGATATAGATTCTCTAATGCTTGCTAATGAGATTATTTATTACTAGTAAATAATGAACTATGTCAATGTTAGGGCAATCATTTTTCTAAACAAAAAACCAACATTAATTGTGAAAGTTAATAATCATAGTTATCGTTTTATGTGTTTCTTACCATCTATTTACTTAATAGCCAGTTTACATAAAATGATTAATAGACTAATGAATCTGAGCTTAAAGTCTAATGTCTAAGTCTATACTAGTTTGTATGTATGTATGTATCATAACATACTTTCTTAAAGCTATCTATTATTTAAAAGGATAAAGGAGGCTTCATTACGAACCTCAAATTTGGTGAGTAGCTCTTCCTTTTGCACGCACAGATCAGGTTTATCGATAATTATCGATTCTCACATTCGTCTTTTCTTATATCTGGAATTGTGGGATCTAAAGACATTGCAATTCACTTTTTGCTTTTCTGTATATTAAAGATAATTCTAATACTTTCCACCTGCATTTGGACACTTCTATCGACTAGATTCCTTAAAGTATCGAATCATCGATAATTATCGATTTTCATATTTGTCGTTTTGCTCTTATCGACTTAGCACCTTCTATTCTTGGTTTCACATATGTATTTACCATAAGATACTCTAGATGATTTGTTCCGGCAATTTAGGTATTACACTGATTAATGTCAGGTCCCCATTTGAGTAATTATGGGCGCTCAACTGAATCCGACTACCCCATGGTTCCCCGCCTAGCCACATTCTCAAATTTATTTCAATCTGGAATCCAAACCTGAAGCCGAGTGCATAAATCTACGGTTTTGGGTGGGTTTGTCGCGCTCGCTAATTAACCAGAAAACGAAACGTTTTTTTCTTTCTTTTTTGTTGTTGTTTCTCTCGCTCTCTCTCTCTCTCTCTCTCTTTTTTTGAGGTGTGTTTATTGTAAAAATGTATTATGCATTTTATTGTTGTTGTTGTTGTTTTGGTTATATATTTTTTTTTATAAATTTAGCGTGACTAAAACGAGATCTCGATCGCATTGCGGCTCCATAATTTGAATGAATGTTGTAGGCGATGGCGTCGGTTGGAGCCGGAGCTGGACTTGGAGCGGGAGTCGGAGTCGGAGTCGGAGTCGGCGTCGGCCTGGGTCTGGTTTGTTGCTTTTCGGCTGCAACAATGATTTACCGTGAGATTTGTTCAACAGCAATCAAAATAACAACAACAACAACAACAACAACAGCAGCTGCAAAAGCTGCAAATAAAATGAGAAGAAAAAAAAAACAACTTTTAAATGCACACGAAATACCGAAATAAAAGTCATAAATTTGGTGCTTTTGAAAAATTGCCATGACTACGACAAGAAAAATTATTAAATTTTATTAAAAGGTGTTAATTTGACAAATTAATGCGACACGTGTGTGTGTGTGTGTGTGTGTGTGTGTGTGTGTGTGCGGAATTAACAGTTATCACAACTCATAAAACACGAATTTATTTGTAGCGTTAAAAAATCTACGAAATTTTACATTTTTAGCAAGCTTTGGAACTTGTAAAATGGCTCAAACTGATAAAACCTAAAAACATGATGAAAACTCGTATTGATATTGCTTTTGCTTAAAGTATGTCTAGAGTTATTTATTTCTATAGTTTATCTAGAAGTTCTTTAAGTTTATCCAGAAGTTTTTTAACTTATGCTCTTGTCTGCATGCGATTTTGCCTGGACTTAAAATGCAGGTAGAGCGTGTTTAACTGCTGGGTATAACCAATTTTTGCTAGGTATCTGTTTGTCTATCATTTTGATTGACAGAAAACGGCTTCGATGCTTACGGCATACTCTAGTTGCTCAATGCTCTACATTTGTTATGTGCCGGGACTCTTCCGATTCGTTATGTTGAACCTCATTGACCTATACTGAGTGTAATACTCATATTATGAACAGCTCAAGCGCGAGCAGGTGCTGCAGTTTATAATTATATGCTTATGCAAATGAAATACGCCACAAGAGTTGTCAGTTCAATTGCAGTAATAGGTATAATCAGAGTAGGCAGAGCTAAGCCTGATCAACCACAAAATGTTATAGAGTCTGTATAAAAACAAAAGCTATTGAGCTACTCAAGACTGAGAAAGTGATCCGAAATGTGTCGCACAATTGATCAAATTATGCGTTTCGGGTCTATATATATGTAAATATGCGTTGTCAACACACTTGAGCTGAGCGCTTTAACAGCTGCTCGTGTTGCCAATTACAGACGAGACAGTTAACAAATTCGATAAACTTGCAGCCAGCTTCAGCTAGGCCAGAGGCAAAGGCAATTTTCGCATTTGTCCGGCACTTGGCGCTCATTTAACAGTAGCCCCGGCCACTGAACCATTAAGTAATTTTCAATTTGCCCAGAACGAGCAACAGCACAACAACAACGAACAACAAACAAGCGGCTGCTGTGGCAGCCACAACAATGACAACATAAACAAACGAATTTCAATTACCCATCAGGCTGGCTGCAATTACCTGCACCCCGCGCAACGCTTCGCCCTACGCTCTATTGGCCGCCTCAAGAATTTTCCGCGCAACACAGCTAAAAATTAGTTGAAAGTTGTTCGCTTCGCTTTTCGCTCATGCTGCGCATTTCTCAATGGAAAATTTGCTTAGGAAATTGGCCTCAGCGATTTGCCAGTTGGAAAAACCAGAAAACCAAGTCCCCCCCAACAACATTTCCCATTTGGCATTTCGCTTGGCAAACTTCCCGCCCCTCAAAACGCTGCGTTTATCACAATTTTACAATAGTTGAGACTGCAAAATACTTTGTTGATTTCTGTTTTCGCAGCCTCACCGACTCTGCCAGATACCCTACATTCCTGCTCTTTGAGTTAGTTACGACTACAAAGTCTGCAATTACGTGTAGCTCTTTGGTAATTATGGCTGGAGGGAGGAAGGGGCCATTAGGCGTCGCCCGTCATGTGGTCGCCACCTAATAAAGATTTGATTGCTTCGATTCCTGACCCCCTCCAGCCCCTTAAAGTGGCACAATGCATGACATGGCATCAATAAGTGGCGCCTGGCAACAGTTTAAGAGCTATTTGCAACATTTTCTACACTTGCCTGCAAGTGAAACTGTGCTCCCAAGTACTTATGCTGGCCAATTAGTTGGGCCGAGCACGTGACCCACTGCATATGACTCTATCGAGGCATAAAGACGTAAGAGTGTTATAGGCCAGACGATACCCTGCAACGAACCTTCTGCGATATTCTCTGCCCATACATGAAATCTGTCTCGTGTATCTTACCATACGTCAATTTCAAGAAAACGACTTGGCCTTAATTTTAAGCACCTTATTTACTGCACCTGACTTTAAGAGATTGGAGATAGATTCTCCTGCCTGTTGCATACATTTGAACAGAACTAATATACCCCTTTCTACTCGGTGTAAGATATTAAATGTGTCAGATGAAATTTAAGTAAAGATTATTTTCTACAGATGATACATGATTCAAAACGTGCTAAGAACAGTGTATCCGTATTTCTCTATGTTTGTTTAGGTATATAATTATTTATCTCAATAAAAACTCTGCTATCACCTAGACTTTGATATGGGGAATATATAAAATGAGGCAAGGAATCACTTTAAAATTGATTTA